GTCGTGAGCGTGCTCATAGTGCTTGACGTGCGCGCTGGTGCTGTGCGTGGTGGCAGAGGTGTGGTGCGTGCTCTTGATGGTGCTGGTGTGCCATGCTATCATGAAATATACATCAGGTTCGTGCTATTGTCGAACTGGTGTTGAATCGCGAGTGCGCGACGAATGGGGCCCTTCAGCATCGCGTCCGAGGGCCGAGAAGGGCCCCCGCGGGCGCCCGTCCACGACGTTGTGCGGATGGACTCCTGCGAATATTGAAAAACCGGCAGAAACCTACGCGATGGCCCCAGTCCTGCGCATGCTACCGAGCGAGATGCGACTGTGTACCTTAGCAGCGGCTGAAACACATGCGCGCGAGTCCCCGAAGGTCAGCGGGCGCTCTGCGAACTGCGCGCATGGCTGCCTGCCGTGCCCCGGCGGGGTCGGCGGGGTCGGCGGCCGCGCCCGCCGCGAGCGCAGTGCCGCGAAGCAAGCCCGCCGCGGGCCTGACTGGCGCCCGGGCGGAGCTTCAGCGTCGCCGCCGGGAGTGATCAACGGGCGGAAGGTCGCCAACAACGCGAGGTTGCCCACGTTTTGGGCACGAGTCTGGCACTCCACAATCGCGATCTGCCTCGCCTCCCACGTGAGCTGAGCGATCTCAGCATCGGTCGGCTGAGCCCTGAACCCGTGCGCCAGTTTGGCCTGGATGCCTGGCGGCGGAGGGTCGACGGCGCCGAGACGAGCCGCCTGCGCGTCTGGATTGTTGGTGACCGTCGATATGTACAAGTCGCCGTCAGCCGTGTAGATTACGTGCTCACCTTCCGATGACGCCAGTCGGCCCAGGTTCGAATGCTGGTGCCACAGCACCTCGCCGGCGTAAGACGTGCACCAATGGAATCGTCGCTGGGTGCGCCATCCTCAGCAGCAGTCCGAATACGAAGGCGTGGGCGAGCGTCCGGCGAGCAGCGGCGCATCGGCGGACCACGCGCGCTGCGGTGGCGAGGAAGCCGACCGAGCCTCTCCCAGCACGCCCAGCAGCACGGCCCAGAGGTCCCGCGGCACGTCGCCGAAAACAGTCGCCGCGGCCTCGACGGGCGGCACTTCGCCCGCTGGTGCCGTGGGCGCTGCTCCAACGGCCACACGCGTGGCGCGCGCCGGGCAGACGGGCGAGCCGGCCTCCGCCCACGGCGGGATCGCCAGGCACTGGAACGAACACGCGGGGCACCCTGCCGTCGTTCCGCACGCTAGGGAACAGGTAAAGCAAGGCAAGCTTGACGACGCCTCTGGACAACGAGTGAAATTCGAGACTACCTCTGAAATGGCGTGGTCCGTGAGCCTTCCCCACGTACTCAAAACTTGAGCGGCCAAAACGGCGGCGGATCGAAAAACGCCTCGGACACCCGTGAGATCACAAAAAACATCGCTGCCATATACAGTGACGTAATCAATATGTGAAAAGGGGGAAGACCTGGATGGCCATCCTCTTCCAATCCAAAAGTACAGGGAAGCTATAAGTGTTCAAAAACGGCGCACGTGCCTGAGCCAAACTGCACAGGGGCGCTGATGCCCCCGCCAGGGAGCTCCCTTCAGGGTTGCCTAAAAGGGCCCCAAGACGGCCCAAAAAACACCCAAAACGCTTCAACAAGGCTCAGAGAAAACATCGACGTGGCCGAAATCATGAGCCTACCTAAAAGCTTGTCCATTCTTTTCCGTTCTCGAACGTTCGGGTTGCCGAGCACCCAAGACGCGCCCCAAGACTAACGACTCCCGAAGAGGGCCCCGCAACGGCCGAAGACAGCCCCAAAGCGGCCCCACATAACCTCAAGAGGTCTCCACGACTTTGCACGCAGGCCCCCAAGACGGTTCCCGAGTGCCCCAGGCGGCCCGAGTGTATCCCAGGACGGCCCAGGAAAACCCGAAAATGGCACATGAGAGCCCCCAAAGGTCTCCGAGAAGGCCCAAATGGCAAAAACATTATCTCAAGATGACCGCAACGGGCCCCTTCCCAAGTGTTCCCCCAACGCTTTCCCCAAACGGTGGGCGAACACGCAGTCCACAGCAACGGCCGCATCTCCACGTCACATTTCGCGACGCAAGCGTTTCCAGAATCGCCGTAGGCGTCCTTCTAACACGACATATGACCATCGTAATTCGTCAGCGTATGCTTGCGTCAGATATAGAATCGGATCTCCAACAAACAACGGTATAACCTTTGGAAGGTCATCACAGGACGGTTATTACAACCACAAGCCGCATACCACATGCGTGCTGACATCCACCGCCCTATACCCGGACTGTTTGAGCACATTGCGCGAACGGATATTTGGATGGTTCGGATCTGAAACAATACCGATGCCGATGAGGCCCGTGACCGTGAGAGAATTATTACAATACTTGCTGGGGGACGCGCGAACTAGCGTGCACATGGTTGCATACACGCCCATACTTTGAAGCATCGACTTTGGGCGACGACGCTCGGCCGTTGATGGTAACCTGTCTGCACGAGGCATTTCCAATTCAGTTGCGGTAGCATCTGACAAAAGCAATCGCGTCGAATCCACATTCGGCGCTGTCGTCATCGGAGACGTAGAAAAATCTTTCAATAATATGCGAATCATCTCGCGCAATCAACTATACATTCCTCCGTTCTCAGCGCCGCATGATACGGAATGGAAGGATCAGTGAACACGCAAGGACAACGAATCGAACTTAATGCACGTGTCTAGATACACTCACACTTCCGCAGGCCGAGCGGTTTTGCTCCTGAGGCCATGATGCCACCAGCCCTCTGGGTGTATGTGGTTTAACGAGTTTTGTCTTCGCTCTTTCCACAACCCCTCCTTCCCCTGCTCGGAAGAGGGGTTAGCACCCCTAAACCTGGGAAGGGGGGCGCGCGGCGCTCGAGCGCTCAAGATGGCCCAAGATGGCTCCAAGAGGGCCTCAGGGAGCCCAAGATGGCCTTCAAGATGGCTCAATATAGTTGAAGATGGCCAGAACATAGCCTCCCACATACATCGAAGACGCCCCAATACGGCCCAAAGATGGTTTCAAATGCCCCCCGAGCCTTCCAAGGACCCCCCCAAGAGGCCAAACTGCCTTCCAAACCTGGGGAACACCAATGATTGTTGCGGTCTCGCCTTTTCGCTTCTGGTGGGCTCTCGAGGCCTCAAGATGTCCCCAAGACGGCCCAAGAGAGCCCCAAGAGGGGCCCAAGAGGGCCCAAATAGGGCCCCAAGAACGCCCAAGAGCATCCCAAGAGCGCCCCCAAAACGCCCCACGAGGCAATGTTTGAGCCTCTGAGGGCTGAATTGAGGACCCCCCTCCTTTTGAGCTACGGGGGCCAAGACAGCCCAAAGAGACTTCTCAGACCCACCCAAAGTGCCCAAAGAGGGCCCCACGATGGCCCTAAAAAGAGCCCCCAAAGGGAGAAAGAGCTCCAAGATGGCTTCAAAAGACCCCCGAGAACCTTTCACAACAACGCTTCACCTCGCCTGGCAAACTGCTTCTGACAAAGCAAGTGGGGATACTTTTGATCGCGACCGTGGCGAAAAGGTCGGGCGGCGTCCAAGGGCGGTACAGACTAGCAACGCCCTAAATTGGCGCAAGGGAAAAGGAAAGGCGAAAAGAAATGCGGCAAGACTGAGCAGGGGAATAGGCTGGCTAGTAGGGATACGCGAGGCGTCAAACATTACTAAATGCACCCATCTATACACACACTCACTTCCGCAGGCCGAGCGGCTTTTCTCTTAAGGCCCTGATGCCTGTACCCCCGCTCAGGTAAGGGTAACTCTTTACCCGGGAAATCATCATTACTATGTAAGTCTAGGATCCCGTAGATCGAATTTCTTGTGGGTCCAGAACATCAGCAGCTCACACATTTATGTATTCGCCTGGATACGTTGGCCCGCTGCTTCCTTGTCACGCACGGGACATCGTAACTGGACAGGAGAGAAATGTGATTGACGAACATATCGCGCAGCAGTAATTGCAGTATCCAAAGGGTGTCGGTACCAATACTACTGATAAGGCGAAACCAGCACCCCGAACACAACCTGACATCGACAATACCTGGCTATGGTGACTAAGCGTCGGCCTATTACAGAAACCAAGCGGACCAACGAACAAACACCATGAGCCCGTGCCACAACGGAAACGAGAAAGTCTCCGCTGCCACAATGTCGTCGATTGTTGTCGAACAGTGTCCGCGCTGGCGACCATACGGAGCAAGCATGGTTGCGTCACAACTTGTTATTTCTTCGATACCTCATGGAGACTTACCCTCTCTATCGCTCAACTCCCCTCCTCACCCCGTCAAGCTCTTACGATCCCTTCTCCCCCCGTTCCCTCCTCCTTCATTCCCCCCTGCCATCCCCTAATCTACACCTCCCCAGTCGCCATCCTGGAGAGTCGTGGCGGATCTCGGCCTGCGAGTTCAGACTGACTTTGTGCGCTGCGCGTTCACCTGCGGAGTGGCACGGCCCCTTCTGAGACGTTGAGCGGATCGAAAGCTTTTAAACAGATTTCAGCAAGCTGGAAAGGCTTCGAAGAACCCCCTGCCTTATAAAAAGGCCGCCCCCCCACGCCGCGGAATAAAGATGTTCTGTTTGAGGAGAGCGGTTGACATGTAAGTCACTTTGTGCGCATGCCTGCATGATGTGCTCGGGGGAAGAAGGGCCTGAGGGCGGGAAGAGAGCGAGGGTGACGGGGAACCATTGCGCCCGCGATTCAAAACGAAGCTCACCCATCGGTCGGACCGAGCCGCGAGCGAGACGAGCCGAACCGAAGGCGCGAGACATCCAAACCTGGAAGGACGACTCCGAGCTGAACAGCCTTGCATGTGTCTCCTCCTCCTCCTCCTCCTCCTCCTCCTCCTCCTCCTCCTCCTCTCTTTCCACCCCTGTCACCTATGCCACGCCGAGCTGGGCCTGATGCGCGCTCGGTGCCGCCAGCAGCCCACGCCGCATCCCGAGTCTCCTGGTCGTCCTCGCAGTCGGCACCGACAGGGCCTCCGCCTGCTGCTTGCTTCATGAGTGTACAGCGCTGCTGGCAGCCAGTGCCGCCTTCTTCTGCTCCTCCTTGTCGTCCTCCTCCTGGTTTCGCAGGTGCATCTCCAACGGATAGCCCAGCAGCATCCCCCGCTCCGCGTATGAGCACACGAGCGCCTCCTTCTCGAAGAGCTTGCCGAACCTCTCTGGCTCCGCGGCGACTGCCACCTCGCCGGCCGGTGCCTCCAGAGTCGCGGCCGCGGGGCTCGCCGCCACCCTGGCGCCGCTGATCCACACGCAGGGCGCGGGCCCGTCGCAGTGCGGCCGGTCGCCCACCACGGGGTTGCCAGCAGCGGCTGCCGTCTCGCGCCACTCTGTGGTGTCCGCGCTGTCGAGCACGAAGCTCACCTCGGTGATGCTTCTGTAGCGCACTGATGGCGCTTCCCGCACCGTCCGGAGCTCAAGGCCAGGGATGGCCCTGGGGCGTCCGCGCAACACCGCTCGCCACTCCAGCATGACGCGCGCCTCCCCATCCAGGAGTGCCAGGGCGGACAAGGGGCCTTTCGCCACTAGCCAGGCCCCGCCCACACGCGCGTCGCCGTCGAAGGCAACCGTCCAGGGAGGGCTCTCCTCTAAGCCCTGTTTGCCCTGTAGTATGCGAATCTCGTTCGCGAGCGACCGGGGGCCAGAGAGCACGGCCATGCCAGCTGGCTTCACCACAGCCAGCCACTCGTCGGTTTCCCAAAGCACCTGCAGCTTCGACCGCTGGTCCGCGCCCACGGTCTGGAAGGATGCCCCGGGGAAGACAGGGCGCAACACCACTCGCTCGCCGAGCGGGGGCGTGTTGCGCCACCACAGCTTTGTCGACGGACAAGAAGCGAGGCATACTCTCCGATGCATCACTGCACGGCGGGCGCTGGACTGATTGGGCACGAACTGTGGCCAGGCCTCCATGAGCACCTCCGCCAGGCTGACGCCAGACAACCGCTCGTCGATCCTCACTGCGCAACAGATGCTCGTTGTCTGGGCAACAATTGCCTCCTGAGTCGCCCCTGCAGCCTCCTGGAAAGGCTTCCGCAGCTTGACCACCGCCACAGGCCAGCCGCTCACAGCCACGTCGAGGCGCTCCGCCAGCTCCAGGCCGCAGGCGTCGCGCGCGAGGCGGTCAGCCGACGTCCGGAGCAGCAAGATCACGGCGACGCCGCCCGCGCGGAGCACCCGGGCGATCTCCCGAAGGGCTCTGGGCAGGAGCAGCGGGTCCGCCTTGGTCCTGTTGCCCCAGGGGTAGTCGGTGACCACCTGGCCCCATTCCAGGGACCCTGAACCCCCAAGGGAATTAAAGAACAGCGCGCGCTAAAACCTACGGCGAGGCAGCGGCGCCGCTGGGGGGCCCAGACGCCGACCGAAGCAATCCGCGTGGAGCTCCGAAATTTCATGTTGAGGATATTTCTTCTCCTCCGACTTCTGGAACGCTTCGCATTCTCCACGGAGCCCAACAGGCTTTCGCCGGCTTACGCCCTCATTCTTCCTCCGCCGCCGTCTGCCGAGGAAGAGATGCCAATTCATCGATCCCTGGAATGGGGGAACCCACATGTACCGATACCCCTATTCCCGGACCTCTCCGGACCTCTCTGGGGGTGCGTCTCACCAGAACTTCGAGACGAATCCAGCCGTGGCGACAAGGGCTTCCCGGGAGGCCCAAACAAGCGAAGGGAAGTGTAGAGGTACCAATACATTCCCCGACAAGAGAGGTCGTGTCTTTTTTGAACACGGGGTCCCTGGAAGTCGCGACCATTTCCCCAGGGCCGGCTTTTCATCCCGCATCGATTTTTAGCAGACAAAATGGTCAACAACCTTCCGTCGTAATTTTTTCACGACGCAAAAATGTCTGGGTTCTCCCCATCTCGAATCTAAGTACTCCGCCCTTCGTAATTCAACATGGGGGGTCGCAACCATCCCAGACGGGCAATGTTAGACCCCCTCCAGACCAGCCATGAAAGGGCGGTCTTTTGCCCAGACCCCCTGGGACCCTCCAGGACAGCTCAAATCAGACCCCCCCAGATCATACCCCCCCTTTTACTGCGAACTCCGGAATGCACTTCCCGGCCCTGATTTCTGGAACGCCTCGCCTTGTCCACAGAGCCCGACCGCAGGGCCAGCAGCCCAGCGTCCCACCGCAGCGCGTCGAACGTGCGGCCGCGCGTGTGGGCCGCGCAGCTGCGCGCGTTCCTCGCCGCCTGCCTCGCCCCGCGCCGGGCGTCGAGGGAAGCTGGGGACAGCAAGGCCGACTGACAAAGAGAGAAGGATATGCCGAGCAGCTGCGGAGATGGTGAGCAGTCCCGTGAGAGCTAGAGTTGTCCCAAACACAAGCCCACAACCTCGGGTTAGGAAACGACACCTGGGAGGCTGGGAGGTCTTCGTAGGGACGTTGAACGCGCTACTGAGCCCGATGAAGGGGCCATTCAGCTCGAATGGGCCGTATTCGGCCCGAGATTAGGCTGGATTATAAGCCGGATAAGGCGGGGCTGAGCCGGATTACATCATACCGAGCGGGATTCGCCCGAATCGAGCGGACTCACAGAGAGTGGGGGGGAGAGACTGTTTGCGAGGCACGCGCTTGCACGCATCCCACCCCCTCAACGGGATTGTTGGGTGTGGGCTGCTCCCGTGCGCGCTCGCGATGCCCGTGTCCTAACACCTCCCCGCACATGCCCGAGAGGCAGCTCCCTCTTGGCTTCCACCCCCGCGCCGCCCCCTGGAAAGGGGGAAGACAAGACGCGTCGCATCTCCGCGGATGTCTCGCTGAACGACTGTGGGCGTCGGGGTCTCGTTTTGCGTTCGAAATATCGCGTGGAGGGTGCGCGATTGAGTAGATAGCGCGCGAAAGTTCCAGACACCCTCGCCAAATGGACGAGGCACAACGGGACATTTTGGGCCATCTTCGGTCCGTGGGGGCCCTTGCAAGGCCCTGGGACCGTCAGAAAGCGACTCAGGATGAAAAGCCAGTCCTGGGGACTATGTCTAGACTTTTGGGGTCCACGTGGTGAACAAATCACGACGTCGGGGGTCGGGGCGGAGAGAGGGAGAGAGAGAGAGAGAGAGAGAGAGAGAGAGAGAAAGAGAGACAGAGAGAGAACGAACAAAGAGAGAGAGAGAGAGAGAGCGAACTACGATAATGGCGGCGGGATTCAGGTAGGGTGGTAACGAAAGGAGGGCATGGAGGGATGGTAGGAAGGAAAGGAAGGTAGGGAGCAAGATGGAGAGACAGGGAAGCACACATTGATCTATATGTATACATATATATATAAATATAGTTATTTACAGATTTATAAAGAAAGAGAGCGATCTATATTTATACATATAGAGAGAGAGAGAGAGAGAGAGAGAGAGAGAGAGAGCGAGAGAGAGAGAGAGAGAGAGAGATAGAGAGAAATATAGAGAGATAGCGAAAGAGAGAGAGAGAGAGACACACATATACACATATATAGAGAAGGATCCATGCATATACATTCACATACATATGTTTACACACATATATATACACATACATGTATTAATATACATGTATGTATATGTATATCACATACAGTATATCATAGTAAACTTACACAAATATGTGTAATGTATTTTTCCAACTTGTCATTCATATATTAAGGGCCCAAGGAGCCTCCAGGGGTCTGCGGGCCTCGGACACAGCTGGAACACCACAACTCACTAGACAGTCCAATGGCAACACCACCGTGCCCGTGAGGTGGACCCCGAGGTCCTGCCTTGCTCGGAAGGGCAGCGCCTGGGGCAAACAGATCTACTGACAGCCCGACAAGCAGATCGCCGGCAACCACACGACAATGAAGAGCGGCCGGAATCTTTACAGCAAGTGTGCAGTTCGAGGCGAAAGGAGGAGAAGGGGAACGAAGGCGGTGGAGGAAAGGGGAGGAGAGGAAAAGGAAATAGTAAAGCGTTGCAAGCGCATGTTTCCATGATCCGAACGATCATTCATATAACATGGTGCTTTACAACACCTGCACCGAAGATGTGACACAGCACCGCGTATGGCACGAGGTCGGAACATACACCACATTCCTGACATGCCGCAGCGGAGAGAACAAGCAAGGGAGGGAGGGAGGGAGGCACCGCGAGGGGGGAAATCAAATGTTGGGTGCACTCACTCGCCAACAATATAAATTGCAACTTGAGGCGGGCACTGCGGCTACCGGCATACGCGACGCTACTCTGCAGCGGCATACAGGGCAAGCCTGGGCGACGAACGCGACCAAGGGTCGGCCAGCAGCGGCCGCATGCACCACCGCGCAATGCCCGTGCAGACAGTAGCATCGAAGCTACAAATTCGGGGAGGGCGGGGGGAAAGAGGAGGTAGCCGAGCGAGAGGCGAGCGCGGGAGGATGAAAAGAGACAGGGAACCGATGCATCCGTACAAAGCTTGGGGCCGACGACGATGGCCTTCAAATCCGAAGCCGTCAACGCAGCAGTGCGAGCCCGCACCAGCGGAAACAAAAACCGCCATGCTGTGGGGCTGCGCGTTTCAACCAGCCGCGCACGTTGGATCTAGTCTGTTGCGTCGTTGTGGGGCCATCGTCGGGCCACCTAGCACGGGGGACAAATCGTGCCCCCCCACCACCACGCAAAACGAACCAACGTGTCGCATAAACGGAGCGTGAGAGGGACGAGGGAAGAGATAAAGAGAAAGAGAGAGCGAGAGAGAGAGAGACAAAGAGGCAGCGAGGAATACACGCTTGCAAAACTGTAAAGCAGCCCCAGTGGCCCAGGGCTCGCTGGGAGACAAGGTTTCCCCCAACGAGCTCGCGAACGCTCTGGGGCCGGGCAGCGCCTCGCGCGCTGCCGGTCTAGCGGCCACGCCGCCGTGCCGGCAAAGACAAATGCACTCTGTACACAGCTGCGGTGCGCATGGCCTTGCGAACGAAAGGCCCGGGCTCGGCCGTCACGCGGCGGGGCAGCACGTCCAGCAGCAGGAAACAACTCGTACAAGCCTGGCGGGACCCTGGACGGTGGAACCCCAGCGCGGTCTGCGCGAGCCGCCACACGGCCGGGCACGCCGCGTAGGTGCTCGGATGGAATCTGGCGTAGCAGAACTGCATAATATGCATTGGTCCTGATGATGGCATCTACCCTGCATGCGTCGATATGAAACCCACCCGTTCCACAAGGTGCGCCAAACTGCCGACCACGTCCGAGGAGAGACCCGCGCCCCGAACTCGGGGAGGACCGCGAGACAGCGTTCTGCCCGGCAGCGGGGGAACTGAGAGATGTTCCACGCTGCGAGTTTGTGCCGAATGCGCCACGCCATTCGAGACTGGGAACCCATGGGCAAGGCGGCGAGAGCAGCCCGCTGAAAACCGCGTCGGACTGCGGCTGCCGTGCGGCTGCAGTATGGGCGGTGCTCGCAATGCGCCAACTCGCCTTCTAAGGCTTCGGGGCGAATCCCACTAGCCGCGAAATTCGCCACCGCGGCCTCCAGTTGTAGGATGAATGGTCGCTGAAACCATAACGACCAACTTGCGAGGCGATCCAAGTGCTCCGTACCCCGCATACACAAGCGCAGCTCACGCGACCACTCGGCCACGCTCAAGCCGTCGGGCAGGCCTTGCTGGTGCGCCACCCGGAAGCGGCAATACAGTGACAGCCTCGCAGCGTCGGGGAAATCTTTCGGGGAACCGAGCACCCGCAAATTGTGCAGGTCTTCCGGGACGCATCAGAACTCAGGGCCAGGAGCGAGAGCTCGGAGAGCCGCAGCTTCGGTTTCCTCCCACCCTGGCGGCAAGTTGCCCAGTTGCAACAGGAACGTGAGGACCGATACAATGCACACGCTGTACGCCAAGGCGGTGAGGGATAATCCGACTTCTGCGGCATCCCAATCCCGCGCGCGCTCCAAGAACTTCTCGAGCGGCTTCGTGAAGGCGAGGTGGCCGTGTTCAGGGCCGAGTGCAAACCCCAGGTGCTGCTGGACATGCCGCCCCGCCGCGTGACGGCTGAGCCAGGGCTTTTATTATGTATAAGTGTACACGTCTGTGTATACTAGTGTAATATACCTATAAGTGCATATGTATGCATACGTAGATAGTTGTACATCTACAGATCTATGTACACAGAGATATCGAACATCATGAAATATGTATGCGGGAGGGGCAGATGTGGAAAGAGGAATAAGGCAGAAAAGAAGGTGGGAGGGAACGATGGGGAGGAAGGAGCGACTTGGCGAGGGGCGAGATGAAGGGAGGAAAGGAGAGGGACAGCAATAGTGAAATAATGTGCTATCTGCTACGATGCGTTGCTCAGAGAGAAAGAGAAACAGAAAGAGAGAAAAGAGAGAGAGAGAGAGAGAGGAAGAGTGACGGGAACATCGGCCACCGATCGTGCCGCGAGGCACTGAGTGGAGTGTCTTCAAAGCCTGTCGGTCCTCCAATATTTAATGTTGTGACTCTTTGAAGAGAGGCCCAGACCCAAGAGTTCTGGGAGCTCTTGGGCGCTGGTCGCGTGATCACGTGGGACTTTCGTGTCCAACGCGGCCGAAAACGATTTATGAAGCCCAACCTGGAGCCCTCTGGGGGGCGTGTGAACCCGTCTTGACACCCCTCCGCGCTGGGCCAAGAGGCCAGAGTTGTCTGATTCCCGGCGGTTTTTGTACAACTTTCGCATGTTAGGCTTTTCTGTCGTGGTAGCGTCCAAAGCGGCCCAAGAAGCTCCCAAGATCGGCCCAAGACGGCACAATAACCCCCAGCAGAGGCCCAAGAGGCCCCCCAGACAGCTCCAAGAAAGGCCCAAGATGGGAAACTCGGACTGACATTTGGAGCCCTTCACCTCAAGACGCTCCCGATTGCCACCTGGAGGTCCCCAACACGCTCCCAAGAGGCCCCAAGAGGCCCACAGGAGGTCCCCAAGACGACCCAAGAGGCCTCCAAGAGGCCCCCGAGAAGTCCACCAATAGACCCTGCGAAATTTCCAGAAGACCTCTGGCCCACAACCCAGGACGGCCCAGCCCCGGCCCCGGCCCCGGCCCAAGCACTGGCCCCCGGTCCCGGCTCCGGCCCTAGCCCCGGCCCCTGGCCAGGCCCCCAGCCCCGGCCCCAGCCTCGGCCCCGGCCCAGGCCCGGGCCCCGGCTCTGGCTCTGGCCCCGGCCCGAACCCGCCCCTGAAGAGACGGCTCTCCTCCTCCTCCTCCTCCTCCTCCTCCTCCTCCTTTTCCTCCTCCTGCTCCTCGTCCTGCTCCTCCAACTGCTCCTCCTCCTTCTCCTCCTCCTCCTCCTCCTCCTCCTCCTCCTCCTCCCCCCTTCTCGTTCTCTCCTCCTCCTCCTCTCTCCTCCTCCTCCTCCTCCTCCTCCTCTCCTCCTCCTCCTCCTCCTCCTCCTCCTCCTCCCCTCCTCCCTCCTCCTCCTCCTCCTCCTCCTCCTCCTCCTCCTCCTCCTCCTCCTCCTCCTCCTCCTCCTCCTCCTCCTCCTCCTCCTCCTCTCCTCCTCCTCCTCCCCTCCTCCTCCTCCTCCTCCTCCTCCTCCTCCTCCTCCTCCTCCTCCTCCTCCTCCTCCTCCTCCTCCTCCTCCTCCTCCCTCCTCCACCGCTCGCTCCATGTCCCGAGCCTGTGGCAGGGTCATCAGCTCGTCGTTGTCGTTGTCGTCGTGGTCGTCGTCGCGGTCGTCGCGGTCGTCGTCGTCGTCGTCGTCGTCGTCGTCGTCGTCGTCGTCGTCGTCGTCGTCGTCGTCGTCCTTCTGGGTCGGCGGCACTCGCCGTAAGGCCTTCAGTCTTCAAGAGACCTCTGGCCCACAATCCAGGAAGGCCCGACGAGTGCCCCGTGACGGCCCAAGATGGCCCGAAATCGCCCTCCCACAAAGCACTCCAAATCGTGGCTTGGTCGTTGGTGGAGACCGTGGCTAGCAGCAAAGAAGCTCCAAGAAGCCCGCAGGCCACCCAAAACGAGCCCAGAAGAAGGCCTCCGCAGACCTCAAGGGGCCCTAATAAGCTTTCGTGAGGCCCCCAAGAGACCCTCAAGGCAGGGAAGGGTTCGCAGGGAAGGGCGGTAACGAGAAGGACGGTAAGACATATGAATTATGCTAACGGAGTTCCCCACATAAGGATGTTGAGGGCTTCGTGGGGTCAATGAAGCAAAATAATAACAATATGAATGGGAGGGCCATCGCAAAGGCACATGCGAAAGAAAAGGCAGACGAAGGCAATGAGGGGGAGCAGCAGGGAGGAAGACGACGGCTGCTCAGCAAGCACGTTCGTCCCTGGAGGAGTGGGAGGGGCACGAAACCTGATAAATAGCATGTTTTGCGAATACCCTCCTCGCTCAGGCGGGGCCTCCCTGGAGGAGTGGGAGGGGCACGATATCTGACAAACAACATGGTTTGCGAATACCCTCCTCGCCCAGGCGGGGCCTCCCTGGAGGAGTGGGAGGGTCACGAAACCTGATAAATGACATGGTTTGCGAACGCCCTCCTCGCTCAGGCGGGGCCTCCCTGGAGGAGTGGGAGGGGCACGAGACCTGATAAATAACATGGTTTGCGAATATCCTCCTCGCTCAGGCGGGGCGTGGGAGGGGCACGAGACCTGATAAAAAAACATGGTTTGCGAACGCCCTCCTCGCCCAGGCGGGGCCTCCCTGGAGGAATGGGATGGTCACGAAATCTGACAAATAACATGGTTTGCGAATACCCTCCTCTCTCAGCCTCCCTGGCGGAGTGGGAGGGGCACGAAACCTGATAAATAATATGGTTTGCGAATGCCCTCATTTCTCAGGCGGGGCCTCCCCAGAGGAGTGGGAGGGGCACGAAACCTGATGAATAATATGGTTTGCGAATGCCCTCCTCGCTCTGGCGGGGCCTCCCCAGAGGAGTGGGAGGGTCACGAAACTAGATAAGTAACATGCTTTGCGAATACCCTCCTCGCTCTGGCGGGGCCTCCCCGGAGGAGTGGGAGGGTCACGAAACTGGATAAATAACATGCTTTGCGAATACCCTCCTCGCTCTGGCGGGGCCTCCCTGGAGGAGTGGGAGGGGCACGAGACCTGATAAATAAAATGGTTTGCGAACGCCCTCCTCGCTCAAGCGGGGCCTCCCTGGAGGAGTGGGAGGGGCACGACATCTGACAAATAATATGGTTTGCGAATACCCTCCTCGCTCAGGCGGGGCCTCCCTGGAGGAGTGGGGGTGGGAGTGGCCTCTCGGGCGTGGCCTCCCTTGAGTGGCAGGTATGGTATGGTAGCTTTGGTGTGGTAGGTGTGGTATGGTATGGTAGGTATGCAATGGTATGATATTTTAGGTCTGGTATGGTAGGGCATGGTATTGAAGGTATGGTATGGCATGGTAGGGTTAGCATGATAGGTATGGTAGGTCTGGTATGGTAGGTGTGTGGTATGGTAGGTATGGTATTGGTATGGTATGATAGGTGTGGTCTGAGATGGTAGGTATGGTAGAGGAGGAGTAGGAGGAGGAGGAGGAGGAGAAGGAGGAGGAGGAGGAGGAGGAGGAGGGAGGAGGAGGAGGAGAAGGATAGGGTGTTCTAGGAAAACAAGAACCCCACTCAGGATGTTCAGAAAACGTGATAATCAAGAACATGGAAGAGAACGACGAAACCGAACAAGAGGAACAATGAGATGCTATCATGGTGTTTTGTATTCTCTTACGTGTTCTTTGAATCCGAACGTTCTCGATCCTTTCAAAACTCGTGCTCCCGCTGAAACTTGGGCCTCATTGTAGGATCGCAACTCTGCCCCCGTCGTTCAGATTGGCGCTCTTGCCCCAGCGCGGGCCACTCGTCGGGATCCGGATCCTTCCTCATCGCTGTCGCCCCCTCCTTTCCCCTCCTCCGCCTTCCCCTGGTCATCCTGCTCCTCCAGCTCCTTCCACTCCAGTTCCGGCTGCTGCTGTTCGACCTCCATCTCCTCCTTCCTGATACTCCTCCTCCTTCTCCTCCTGCTCATCCTCCTGCTCATCCGCCACCTCCTCCTCCTATTTGCGCAAGCCCCCTTTTTCGACTGCGCCACGCAACACGATGTGGCCTTCTTCTGGAGCTCCAGGTCCGCATTGCCGTGCGGCCGCGGACGGAGACCATCCAGCGCAACGGGCAGGATGTCAGATGTGGCGCGAGCGCACCTGGCTTGCCATCCTTCATCTTCTCTCTCTCCTCCTCTCTTGCTGGTTCCGCCTGCATGCGGCACTTGAAGGGTCAAGGTGCACGGCGCGGCGTGCCAATGCAATGCTGCTTGTACATGTATACATACATTTTCATGTACGTACTGTGTGCCGTGGAAAACGGGAAGTTCGCACGTGTCACACTGTGCGACATGGCATGCGTGCGTTTTTTCGGACAGCCTCCCCAGGCCGAGGATCTCAGACCGCCCCTTGGATCCTCCATGATTCTCGCACTTCTCTGCTCGCACCCCCTCCTCCACCCCAACACCTCGCCCCTCCCCCTGACAGCCCCGCCTCCTCTCACCTCTCCACCCCCCACCGCCCTTCCAAGACAGGGTCTAGCCCCAGAAGCTGTGCGTCTTCGTCACTCTGCCCCCGCACGGCCATGCTGACCAAACATCGATAATCTCACGCAAGCATATCTGTAATGGTTTCCTTTCCAGGTTTGTGCGGCCAACTTCGCAACACATCGACTCATACCGAATGTGTCTTTAATCAGATGTTGAACTGCCTCGCCTGTCTTCGCACAGTCGATCATTCTTGACTTAACTCGTGTGTGACCGCGTGCACCTTCTGAGATGGATTTGCGTAGCATCTCGACTCCCCCTTCAGATCCTCCCGACCTTTCGACTGTCGAGGCTGCAATGTGGTGGGCTGTCATGAACAATCAATCATCAACGGATAATGGTACACACATGGCACCCACCCTGCCACCTCATCACGGCCCTCTTCCCGATGTCGCCGGACAGAGCCCACACAGGCCCGAGTCTTGCACAAGCCTCCGCAGGGATGGAGCCGACCCCAGCCATCGGGTCGACCACCACATCCCCAGGCTGCACGTCAGCCTCCCCACAGTAACGCAAGCGCTGATCAGAGCGCCCGACAAAGCGGCCACTTGGGTGGCGAAGACGACAAGTGTTGACTGTACTCGGCAATATCTAAGATCGAGACGGGCGCCGCACTTTTTGGCTTTTCCTGAACTCCTTCTTTTTCGTAATCGAGACCTTGCCATCTCACGTTTCGGGTCCAACCCGCCCGCCCTCCCTCGGTATCATGTGCCCCAATCCAGGAAATAACGGAGACTGCCTTTGCTTAGGGATGTACACAAGCTGTTGTTCTCGTGTGGCGCTTCAGGAAACTGGCAACAGCTCGAGGGCACTTGGCCGATTGCTCGAAACACGGATGCTGAACCAGCCCGAAGTCGCACACACTCAACGTATGGACAAGAACATTACACATGATGTCCGAAATCGTCAATCGAAACAGCCGGGAACTGTGAATCACCTTTCAACCCTCAGCTCCGCGTGCGGGGTGCGCAACTCTGCGACTCGGACGTAGCGACGAATGTCCGATGAGTCCTAGTTGGTCGATCGACAAACAAGTTCCAAAGTTAATCAGCTGACGCACGGAGAGGCCACCGCTTACCCGCCAAGGCACGGTTCGTGCCATATAGCATAACCGACGGTACAAACCGCGAGCCTTTCGCACACTTTCCCACGATGGGCGATGTGTTATGCATGGTGTCCGCTGTGTGTGGTACTATGACTGCAGCTGGACGTGGCGACGCGCGGACGTGCCAATCCAACGAACTCACCCGTGTACCTCGACAACACATTTGCATGTCAATTGCTGCGTCTGACGACGCCGTTTCTTGCAAACGCTCCGACACACATTTCGACACTCTGAGCATTCTCACCGACCTTGGGCACATACAGCTTGCATTCGCCATGCTAGGCGTGGACAGTGTATGCGTCTCCTACCTACGAGGCCCTGCTATTGAAATTCGCTAAGGCTGATGTCTCGTACTCTCGAACATCGGGGCAAAGATCTTAGCAGCTTGAACCCATTCTTGTGTAGGTAGCTGCGCTTACCTGCATCACTCATGTCCGACATTTGCTGGTGATCCCTTTCCCAACTGCCCTCCACACACACGTAACGTACGTGTACAGGTCGGTCGGAGTGACTGTTTACTCGTATGTAATACGAAAGCGGGATCAATAGATTAGGTTTTGGCCCCCCCCTCAAGAGACATCCGCGACGATTACAAGAAGTATATTGCGATATCTGGGCCCTCCCTTATCGGCGTGCAACAGCCTTGGACCCCTCGGCCCAATCGGCTGCCCCTTCCCTGGCTGGCTTTGACGCGCCGTCGATTGCCTGTCGGTTGTCCGTGGTCGCGCCTTGCCCCTCCGCTGACCCGCGGTCGCTCGGCCCCTTCGCTGCCTCTGCCATGTCTGGTCTTTTGGGTGTTTTTGCTTGTCCGTCGGTTGCTCCGGCCGCGCCTGGCCCCTCGGCTGGCCCTCGGCCGCTCGGCCAGCTAGCGGGGCCGAGGGGCCGAGCGGCCAGGCGCGGCCAGGGCAACCGACGGACACCCCAACGGCAGCCAGAAAGCACCAGCCAGGGAACAGGGCAGCCGAGGGGCCAAGCGGCCGAGGGCCAGCCGAAAGGCCAGGCGCGGACAGCGCAACCGACGGTCCACCCAACGGCAACCAGAAAACAACCAGCACCAGCCAGGGAACAGGGCGGCCGATGGGGGCGAGCGGCTGCCCGCCGAGGGGCCCGGCGCGCCTAGAGCAACCGCCGGACCACCAGGAAGCGACCACAACCTGCCGGGGAAAGGGCAGCCGAGGGGCCGAGCGGCCGAGGGGCCAAACGATGTGCGAGAAGCCAGGCGCGGCGAGAGCAGCCGCCGGACAACCAACGACAAGCAGAAAACGACCGAAACCTGACGGAGCACCCAGAGGCATCCAGAACACAACCCAAACTAGCCAGGGAAGGGGCGGCTGATCATATGCAGCCAGGCCCAGGAAGTAGACTAGGGTTGCGCCCGCCCGCCAACACACATGTGAAACTATCGATTCTTGAAACAGGAAGCCGCTTTGAGTAGATTGGGATCTGGGACTCCAGAACTAGCTCTTTTCAACGACCGACCTGTATCTGGTTCTACTTGTTCATTACCCTAAACAGTAACATGTGGCCACGAGTGCGACACTTAGACAACCAATAAGCCTGGAAACACAACTTGCCCCTAAAGTAATCAGGCACGGATGATCATTTGTATGCCGTGTGCCTCCACGCTCCCCCCCACCCTCCTTAAGCAATAAGCTGTAGCACACACTGCTGCGCAGCTGCAGGAGCCCGTCGGTGATAGGAGCCATGTACCTTTGGGACGCACACCGCTGAGAACGGCATCACCATCATTTCGACTTCTCGCTGTGACCTGTGCCTTCATCTCGAAAGGCTTGAGTTAAATGAATGCGTGGTCGCATGCACATGCGAGGCCATCACGATATGCAGCCCTGACGTAGGCCCTGTGCATGGGACCTGCCTCGCTAACCGAATGTATCGTTGGTGCTGGTCGTACGCTCACGAGACATCGAACGACACCACTACAATCTTCGCTTCTAACCTTTGAAGGTTCCTCCAGGCACGGACGGTCCCTCACTAGTACTCTTATCTGGATGAAAACACCAGGGAGGAAGAAGACCAGATAGGCGGGAAGCTGATCACGGGCGCCACCGCTTTCAAGCACTCGTGCCCTGACAACCTCCGAAAACCTCCCAGCAACTCCGCCTCCTCCTCCTGCTCCTCCTGCTCCTCCTCCTCCTCCTCCTCCTCCTCCTCCTCCTCCTCCTCCTCCTCCTCCTCCTCCTCCTCCTCCTCCTCCTCCTCCTCCTCCTCCTCTCCTCCTCCTCCTCCTCCCCTCCTCCTCCTCCTCCTCCTCCTCCTCCTCCTCCTCCTCCTCCTCCTCCTCCTCCTCCTCCTCCTCCTCCTCTCCTCCTCCTCCTCCTCCTCCTCCTCCTCCTCCTCCTCCTCCTCCTCCTCCTCCTCCTCCTCCTCCTCCTCCTCCTCTCTCCTCCTCTCCTCCTCCTCCTCCTCCTCCTCCTCCTCCTCCTCCTCCTCCTCCTCCTCCTCCTCCAAGAGCCTCCGGGGGATCCGCCGACCCCCGCCTGCGGGGGGTGACGTGGCGCGTGCGGTGCTTGGCTGTCCCCCTCCTCCCCTTCTCCCTGCCTGGGGCCCCGAAATCGCGCTTGGGGGGTTGGAGGGGTGGGGCTCGGAGGGAAACAGGTGACCCAAGGAACCCGCCAACGCACCTCCGGGGCCCTCGGAGCCTCGAAATCCACACTCCGCGGCCGCCAAGGTGCCCAAGATGCTTTCTAAGATAGCTCGAGGCCAGCTCCAAGCATGCCGGAGAGGCCTCGAGAACATACAGGTTGACCTCCAGGCGACGTAATGACGCCGAAAGAGGACCCAACGAAGACCTCCAGGGGGGCCTCGAGAGGACCGTCAATTTTTGAATGGTTCGCGTTCGGATACTTGCCAGCGTCTGCTGCAAGCCCAAGACGACCCGAGATGCCCCCCAAATGTGCCCAAGACGGCCCAAGAGACCACCAAGAGGGCCCAGAGATGGCCCCCAGGCGGCCCAAGAGGCCCCCGCGATGACAAAAGAGCTTCAAGAGAGCCCCAAGAGGGAAAACTCGTAGGAGCCCCAGGGGCCCGGCCCCAAGGTATGGCCCCGAGACCCCAAAATGCCCGCGAAGTCCCCAGGAGCCCGGAAGACGCTCCACGAGATTGCCCCCTGGGTCTCCAAGAGGCCCCCAAGAAGCCCCGCAACAGACGCGGAGGAAGAGGAGAACGAATCAGTAACAACTACGCGCAGGCAGCACAACGGAAGGTGGTAACAACACGCGTGATATTGGAAGTTGCCGATGTTATTTTGTGGGGGTCGGCGGAATTGCTCAAGGCTCTTGAGTAATTGGCGTCCGTCGGCCTCGCCCTGGTCGACTGAAGCTCCGCCCGCGAAAGGGGAGGCAATGGCGACAACTGGAGCCGCGCGGGGAGCCACACTGCGACGTTGCCTCGTCTCCTGTTCTCTTCCTCCTCCTCCTCCTCCTCCTCCTCCAACTCCTCCTCCTCCTCCTCCTTCTCCTGATCCTCCTCCTCCCCCCTCTCCCCCCTCCCCCTCCTCCCCCTCCTTCTGCTACAGTCCTGTGCCTTCTGAGTAACTCATCCCTGTCGCACCCCGAGGCCAGTCGGAAGGTCGGGCCGGGCGGTTCGCCTGAGACGTCCTCACCACTCATTAGCCTGAAGCTCAAACATGACAGCCGTTTCACAACTGGACGGCGGGCCGCTGCCAAAATGTGGCCCTCGCATTAGCGCGGCGCGCACTCGCCTTGAACATTTGCAGAAATGTCACGGATTGAGGACAGGTCGTTTTCAAAATGTGGCTTTCGCCTTTGCGCCGCGCATTTTCGTTTTAAACATGGCGCCTTCGGTGGAACTCCCTACGGGGCCATGAAACGTATGAGGGGTGTGCCGGCAAAGGGCGGGGCCGCTGTGCGAACTGTGCCACTGGGGCCGTCGGTGGAACTCATTGTAGAGCCACAAAGCGTGTGAGGGGTGCGCCGACGTGGGGCGAGGCCGCCATGCGAACTTTGCCACTGGGGCCTTCGGTGGAGCTCCCAATGGGGCTGCGAAGCGTGTGAGGGGTGCTCCGAAGGGCGGGGCCGCCATGCGAACTTTGCCAGGGGTGCGCCAAAGTGGAGCGGGGCCGCAATGCGAGCTTTGCCACTGGGGTCTTTGGTGGACCTCCCTAAGGGGCCACGCAACGTGTGCGGGGTGCGCCGAAGTGGGGCGGGGCCGCCCTGCGAACTTTGCCATTGTGGCCTTCGGTGGAGCTCCCTACGGGGCCACGCAACGTGTGCGGGGTGCGAACTGTGCCAGTGGGGCCGTCGGTGGAACTCATTGTAGGGCCACGAAGCGTGTGAGGGGCGCGCCGAAATGGGGCGGTACCGCCACGCGAACTTTGCCACTGGGGTCTTCGGTGGAGTTCCCTACGGGGCCCGAAACGTGTGAGGTGTGCGCCGACATGGGCGGGGCCGCTATGCGAACTGTGCCACTGGGGCATTCGGTGGTGCCGAAACAGATACATGTGGAGGGCAGAGGCAAAGGAGGATGGAGGGAAGAGAGGAGAAGAGGTGGGACGCGGAGCACGGTCTCGTCAAAACGAAGACCCAACACCACAGGATGGTAGGGAACAACATATAAAGCTTCGAAAGTGTCACGATCTTCAGAACCTTCAGAACCTACAACGGGGAAGTGGACCAATTCACCAAGGAATTGACCAGCTTCCTGGGGAACGGTTTTTTCCACTGACTCTCCCGATGTCCATGGCATCGCTGTTCTTGATGTCAGCATCTCGTCGCTTCTTGCGCGCCCAATCCTCGCATCTACGGTGCAGCTTCGGATAACCAGAAACTCTGATATGACTCAGTGGCTAGTGACTCGGGCGTCTTAAAGCAGCCCTGCTGCCAATCATCAAACCACTCCCCCGCATGCCACATGATTATTTTCATCGCTGTTATCTTGAAGTGGCGAGGCAGCTCGTAATATGAGCGATTTTCTCATATTTCTCCACTAGCGCGCTCCATTGTTCCAGTTGAACGGGAGTGTCACTTACCTTCTTGGGCCTCTCGGGGTTCATGGTTGCGCGTCTTGGTTGATAAGGGTACATTGGTTACTCCAGAGCACCACCGATTCTCATGTCAGCGATCAATCCTTCACGCTCTCTTAGCAACTTCAATGTACCTCGCGCTTCGATGCTCGCCAGCTTCTCCATTAGTGTGCGCCGAATGTCCTCCTCATCCCATGCGCCGATTTCGTTCTCTTTGTTTTCGATGGTGGCACGATTGTACTCCGCTGCCGTCTTTCGCCCGTTCAACACTCTGATCTTACCATCCTCTTCACTTAGATCTAGTACCACTCCGTCCATGGTTTCCAACGTCGAATTTAATGTCATGAGCGCTTTGCGGTTATCATTGTTGACCTGCGCTGGTGATTTGAATACGCGCTCATTCCAGTCACGGATTTTCGTCCTATCCAGCTGAAACTCTTTAACGACTGGATGGCTTTGGAATCACTTATGGGTCTCTGATGCAGATTGTCCCTGCTCGACCCTACCTTCCGGGCTATTTGTGCGAGAGTTGCGTTCGTGCTCATTTTTCCTTCGGGTATTTTTCCTACCCAACCACTCGCGACTTCACACATTCCGTTTCCGCCTCGTGTCGGTTCTCGTGGCTGAGTATGAACAACAATGAACAACAATGCCGCGTTGGACTTGCCAAGGATTTCAATTAATAGCAGCGCGTGCTAATTGGACAGCTCTTGGTTACCTGTGCGTTCTTGTTCGCCCAGGTAACTTCTCATTGTGCCTCGGTTGGCTTGTAAGGCAGCTTGAACGAGCTGATGGTCGCCTTGGTTGCTAGCAGTTCGGGCATTTCACCCCGAAGTTGGTGAGGTTGTACTCGATCCTTTAGTGCCTCGTGGTGGGTATCCCGACTCCTGGTCTCGCTGCCATAACCTCGCTTCGCTAACATGAACATTTAGCATACATATGGTAATGAGGATGGGCCGCTATTTTGTCTGAGGAGACAGATCTGTCTACCACAAGGTGCCGAGCCACGGTAAAGCGGTCAACTTGAACCAAACGCCAGCGGTTGCGCAGTAACCTCGGGCCGTATGCTGGAACCCTTGATCCTCCTCCTCCTCCTCCTCATTATCCTCCCCATCCTCTTCCTCTTCCTCCTCCTCCTCCTTCCTCCTCCTCCTCCTCCTCCTCCTCCTCCTCCTCCTCCTCCTCCTCCTCCTCCTCCCTCTCTTCTTCCTTCCATCTTCCTCTCTCTTCTCGTCGAGCTTATCCTCCTCTGCCTCCTCCTCATCCTCCTCCTCCTTCCCCTTCCCCTCGTCCTTCCGTCCGCCTCCCACTCCTTCTCCTCCTTATCTTGCTCCGCCCTCCTCCCTCCGCGAAACTCGTCGGTGAGCAGACAAGCCCCGCGCACCTCGGCGCCTCCGGCGGGAAGAAGCCGCCCTTGGAGCAAGCGCACCAGCCTCCCCTGGCCGGCTCATATTCCATCGTCGGAAAACACGCACCCCAATCGGCGGCGAGCGCGGGGGGAAGTGAGAAGGGGAAGGCCTTCTCAGAAGGCTCGGAAGTTCCGTGGCATTCTAAGAAATTTTCTAAAGCTTCCCCGAAGACACAAGAAACCTTTCAGAAGACCAGAGGGCTTCTGAGAAGTTTTGCCGCCTTCTGAAAAGGCATTCTCCTTCTCGCTTCCTCGCCTCGCTCGCCGCCGACCCAAGCATGCCCGCGTCGCGAGAAAATCACTATGGAAGGCTTTCCTCCATTTTTCAGCCCCGGGGGGCCATCGGCGGGCGCCACGACAGTCAAGAAACGGCTCGGGATGAAGAGACGTCCAGGAACCCCGTATTGAAATGAGCCTGGTGAAGGGCCGAGCAATGCGCAGGTGTGAATACCACACGGCAAGGGACGAAAGAGGAGGGATCCGTTTGGGACCGCGCAGCGTGTGAAGAATGTACAAAAAGAGACGCACATGATTCCTGCAACTGCGGCCTCCGGTGCTCCCCATTGGGCCACGAATTGTGCGCGGTGTGCGCCAAAATGGCATGGAGACGCATACGATTCCTGCCACTCGGGTCTTCGGTATAGCTCCTTAGGGGCCACGCAACGTGTGGTGCGTCTATGAGAGAAAGATAGAGAGATATAGAGAGAGAGAGAGAGAGAGAGAGAGAGAGAACGATAATGTGTGGACGGTGAGGAGGTGCTCCCGCCCGCGACGACCAATTAGCCTGGCGAAGAACCCAACCATATGCAGCTGTCAGTACCGCAGCTGCGGGTTTCATCTTCAGTGGAACTCCCCATAGGACTACGGAACGTGTGAGGGGTGTGTCGAGATGGGTGCCGCTGGGGCATTCGGCGAAGCTCCCTATGGGGACATGAAACACGCGCGGGGCGTGCCGACATGGGTGGCGGAAACGCATGTGAGGGCCGCCACTGGGGCCTCCAGTGGAGCTCCATATGGGTCCCCGACACATGATGCTGCTGCGGGGGGGGTGTCGGGATGGGTGGCGGAGACGCATGTAAGCGCCGCTACTGGGGCCTTCGGTGGAGCTCCCTATGGGACCACGAAGCGCGTGAGTGTTGTACTGGGATGTGTGGCGGGGACGCATGTGAGCGCCGCCACTGGGGCCTTCGGTGCAGCTCCCTATGGGGCCACGAAACGTGTGAGGGGTGTGCCGAATTGGGTGCGGGTGGTGACGCATGCGGGCGGTGCCACTGGGGCCTTCGGTGGAGCTCCCTATGGGGCCATGAAACCTGTTGTTGTGAGGGGCGTGCCGGGATGGGTGGCGGGGACGCATGTGAGCGCGGCCGCTGGGGCCTTCGGTGGAGCTCCCTATGGGGCCACGAAACGGGTGAGGGGTGTGCCGAATTGGGTGGGCGCGGGTGACGCATGTGAGCGCCGCCACTGGGGCCTCCGGTGGATGATGGGGCCACGAAACCTGTGAGGGATGTGCCGGATTGGGTGTGCGGGACGCATGCGCATGTGAGCGCCGCCACTGGGGCCTTCGGTGGAGCTCCCTATGGGGCCACGAAGCGTGTGAGGGGTGTGCCGAATTGGGTGTGCGGGACGCACGCGGGCGGCAGCACTGGGGCCTTCGGTGGGGCTCCCAATGGGGCCACGAAACGTGTGAGGGGTGTGCCGAATTGGGTGTGCGGGACGCATGCGGGCGGCAGCACTGGGGCCTTCGGTGGGGCTCCCTATGGGGCCACGAAACGTGTGAGGGGTGTGCCGAATTGGGTGTGCGGGACGCATGCGGGCGGCAGCACTGGGGCCTTCGGTGGGGCTCCCTATGGGGCCACGAAACGTGTGAGGGGTGTGCCGAATTGGGTGTGCGGGACGCATGCGGGCGGCAGCACTGGGGCCTTCGGTGGGGCTTCCTATGGGGCCACGAAACGTGTGAGGGGTGTGCCGAATTGGGTGTGCGGGACGCATGCGGGCGGCAGCACTGGGGCCTTCGGTGGGGCTCCCTATGGGGCCACGAAACGTGTGAGGGGTGTGCCGAATTGGGTGTGCGGGACGCATGCGGGCGGCAGCACTGGGGCCTTCGGTGGGGCTCCCTATGGGGCCACGAAACGTGTGAGGGGTGTGCCGAATTGGGTGTGCGGGACGCATGCGGGCGGCAGCACTGGGGCCTTCGGTGGGGCTCCCTATGGGGCCACGAAACGTGTGAGGGGTGTGCCGAATTGGGTGTGCGGGACGCATGCGGGCGGCAGCACTGGGGCCTTCGGTGGGGCTCCCTATGGGGCCACGAAACGTGTGAGGGGTGTGGTGTGCCGAAATGGAGGATGATATCGATGATGATGGTGGGAGGAAGGAGGAGGGAGGAGGGGGAGGAGGAGCGGGAGCGGGCGCTGTCTCTTCAAAACGAAGACCCAACACCACAGGATGGTTGGGAAAAAGTGTGTGTGTGTGTGTGTGTGTGTGTGTGTGTGTGTGTGTGTGTGTGGTGTGTGTGTGTGCGTGCGTGCGTGCGTGCGTGCGTGTGTGTGTGTGTGTGTGTGTGTGTGTGTGTGTGTGTGTGTGTGTGTGTGTGTGTGTGTGTGTGTGTGTGAGAGTGTGTGTGTGTGTGAGAGTGTGTTTGTGCCAAAATCGGCATGGAGACGCATGCGATTCCTGCCTCTGGGGTATTCGGTGGAAATCTCTATGCTCTATGGGGCCACGAAACGTGTGAGTGCCAAACTGGGCCTGGGGGCGCAAGTGATTCCTGCCGCTGGGGCCTTCCGTGGAGCTCCCCATGTGGCCACGAAGCGTGTGAGGGGTGCGCACTACCGCGCACCACCAGCCCCCTTGGGACAAGGACCGCGTCGCCAACGCCTGCCACCCGCGGCAAGTCTACCAGGTCTCACCCAGCCGTCTCGGCGCGTTTCTCTACCCCTGTGGGGTCCCTCGGGGCTGCCCAGCGCTACGGCCCCTAGCGCGGCCGCTCGTCCGCCAATATCCCCGACGAGACTGCCCTGTCTCCTGGGGACCGCGTGGCTGCCCCCGCACCGCCGTCGGTGCCCCGGCACAGTACCCCGGGCACTCGGGGAGGCCCTGCCCCCGGCTCCTGCCGGGCAACCGCGCTCCACGGGCCCCCCTGGTGGTGCCTCCTCCGGGCCAGCGCGCGCTCCACCTGCTGGCCGGAGGCCGACCTCCGGGGCCAGCAGGCCCACCCTGGCCGCCGCTCTTCCAGCGCGGGCCTGACGGAGCCCCCCTGCCACCGCCTCCACCGCCCCCATCGTTTGCCCCGGTGGTCTGCCTGGGGTTGCCCCCCGGCATCCAGGTCCAGCGGAAGTCCAAGCGTCGCGCCTGGGCCGCCTCCTCCCGTGTCTGGTTCCGCTCCAGCCAGCTCCCACGTCTCGCCAGCCGGCCGCCCTCACGACAGCAGCCTTCCACGTGCGCCGTCGCGGCCCCCCCTCACGCGCCTCGTCTCTGGCAAGCTTGGCGCGGCCTCTGGCTCCGCTGGCGAACCTGGCGACGCCCAGTTTCAGCGCCTCTAGTTCACAATATCGTGCTCCACTGTACTCGAAACGCTCTTACCGACCGTGTCGTGGCGGATGATTGGCGCGTGTGGGTGCTGTGCCGACCCATAAGCAGGCTAAGCATCGATGGCACCACGATCACGTCACCAAGCGCCTATTCGGCCGGGGAGCTCGAAGCTTTCTTTGCTTCCCTCGACTCCGCCACACTCTCTGGTGCCTCTCCCCCACGTGTCCCCCCTGCAGAGGGGCGGCCCCCACCGAGGGTGGCCCTGCGGCGAGGAAGCGGCCTGCCTCCCGCCCGTTCAACCAGCACGGCTTGCGGAGGCGGCGGTGAGGGCTGCCGTGGCTTCCCCCCTGCAAGCGGGGGGCTGAACGTGCCCTCCCTCCGTCTCGGACCTCGCCAGCAGGCCGCTTTGCTTTGGTGTTTCTGCCCCCTCCTCTCCTGCTGGGTCGCCGTGTCGCACGGCTCACTACCCCCCCGCCTGGGGTTGCCCCAGGTTGGCCCTGCTGGGTTATCCCCCTGGGAGCCCTCCCGCGGCCCCCGTCCTTGCTGGACGGGCTCTGCCCCCCGCGGGAGCTGCGGGGGCGTCAAGGTGTCGGTGACCGGGCTCCAGTCCTGCCACGTGGTGGGCACCCGAGCGCGTTCCCGCTTTCCTCCCAGGCCCCGTCTGGCCAGCGATGCCCCAGGCCCCCCCCCTCCCCGCGCCCCCATCGGCCTCCCCCTTCGCAGGACTGCTGGTCCTCCCTGTCCCTGCTTGGCCGGGCTGGCCGCCGCGTTGTCGCCGCCGCCGCGGCCCCTGCCCACCCCGCCGCTCTGAGCTTCTGGCCGGCTCCCGCCCGCTTCTGCACTCCCCGCCTGGCCCCCCTCCCTCGGGGGGCCAGCCTTGGCCGCTCCTTCAAGGACTGCCATCTCGGCCGCCGCCGCTTCTGGCGCGCCGCCTGGCGTCGCCGGCTTTCGCGGCTTCCCAGTCTGCGACTTTTGCGGTCCGCCGCTCGCCACTGCTGCCAGGTCATTCCTTGGTTCTCCTTGTCGGTCCACTCTGCTTGCTCGCCCCCCCCGCCTTCCAGTCCCGGTTGGCTTATGGCACCCCTCCCCCGCCGTAGCCTCGTCTATCCGTTGCCCCCCCCCGCCATCCATGCCTGGATGGTTATGGATGCCGGCGGCTGCGAGGCCCTAAGTGGTCCCTGAATGCTTGGGCGGGCGCTGGTGCGCGTGCGCGTTTCACTGCTTTCCGACCTTCTACGCCCTGTCGCCGCGCGCAGGACCGCGACGCCAAAAAGTGTGTGTGTGTGTGTGTGTGTGTGTGTCTGTGGACGGCGAGGAGGGGCCACCGCCCGCTACGACCAACAGATGTGTGTGTGTGTGTGTGTGTGTGTGTGTGTGGGCCAAAATCGGCATGGAGGCACATGCGATTCCTGCTGCTGGGATCTTCGGTGGAGTTCTCTATGGGGCCACGAAGCGTGTGAGTGGTGTGCCAAACTGGAACTGGGGGCGCATGTGATTCCTTCCGCTGGGGCCTTTTGTGGAGCTCCCCATGTGGCCACGAAGCGTGTGAGTGGTGTGATTCCTGCCATTTGGGCCTTCGTTGAAGCTCCCTATGAGGCCACGAAGCGTGTGGTGTGTGCGTGTGTGTGTGTGTGTGTGTGTGTGTGTGTGTGTGTGTGTGTGTGTGTCTGTGTGTATGGGTCTGTATGTGTGGACGGTGAGGAGGTGCCCCCGCCCGCGACGACTAAAAAGTGTGTGTGCCAACATCGGCGTGGACACGCATGCGATTCCTGCCTCTTGGGTTTAGGTGGCAATCTCTATTGGGCCACGAAGCGTGTGAGTGCCAAACTGGGCCCGGGGGCGCATGTGGTTCCTGCCGCTGGGGCCTTCTGAGGAGCTCCCCATGTGGCCACGAAGCGTGTGAGATGTCAGCCATATTGTCGCGGTCACGCATGCGATTCGTGCCACTGGGGCATGGTGATGGTGGCAAATACGGACATGCGGAGTGCAGAGGTAAGAGGGGGGAAAAGAGAAAAGAGGGAGCGGGAGGAAATGTGAGACGCGGGGTGCTGTGTGTTCAAGACGGGAACACAACATGACATGGCATGTCCGGGCTTCTTCGTTTGACAACAACGCCCTCGGTTCAAACTTAGCACTGCGCGCACTCTTACCTCCAGCGGCCGAATGGCGCCACTGTAGCGAGGGCTCAGACGGGGCACGATCACCATCAAGTCCACCTGACGTTGCACATCGCGGGCTACGCACGGCGAGCCGCATGCATAGCAATATAACGCGTTTTTTTCCTCCAGTGACGAGGTGACGACACCGTCGCGATGCGCTACGCCGGGTGACGCTTAGGCGAATCACAACTTGGCGTAGCAGATGGGAAGACTGCATGGGGGCAGTTACATGCAGAAACACCGCAGACGCGGATGCACGCAGAACAAACCGAAGCGCTCATGCAATGCAATGCAAGGATGGGCAGGGCAAAACAACAACCGCACGAGGAACGCGCGGGTCGGTGGCCTTGCGCAGCCCTGCTGTCAAAGCGCGTCGCAGAACAAATGACAGCAAACAGGGGTAGAGGAAGACGACACAACAGGATACATACAAATGCTTGTCCTCTCACGCGTCGAAGAGTCCAATCGGTGGACAACGCAATGGGACGCGCTTGCCAAAAATAAGCTTACTTGATCCTGCCGCGAATCGCACACACGCACACACACATTCTGTCGTCGGCGGGCAGGCGACCCGCCATGCCGTTAAGAAGTTTCCGCGGCCGCGCCCGCGACGGCCCGCGAGGAAGGAGGCGCGCAGAACTAGCGTGTCCAGGGCGGACCCGAGGCCAAAGGCCAAGGATACGTGCGTGCACACACAACACACAACACCCAGCACACAACATACAACACACACAGAGAGCACACACCGCACAACACACACGGAACACACACACACACACACACGCGCGACACAGGCGTCCGAGCTGGCGGCGCGGCCCGAGGAGGGCGGGGCGTGTGACGGGGGGCGCCGTCCAAGGGCGCCCGGGGGGGGGGGGGGGGGTCGCTGCCCAGGGGGGCATCGGAGGCTTCTGGGAGGGGGGCCTCTGGACAAGGCCTGGAAGGGAGGGCCTCCCAACCTCCCCGCCCCCCCTGCCCTCTCGAGAGGCCGCCCGCCCCGCTGGCGCCGCCTCCTCGTGCGCGCCGCCAGCCAAGATCGCGCGTGGACGCGCGATGTCTTGACCGTCCAGGGATCTTGACCCCAAGGTGCTACAGGGTGTCTTGCGAGCATCCTCTGGAGCCAACGTCGGCTTCGTGGGACGAGAGGAGAGCGTCCATGCAGGCGCCCTCGCACGTCCTTGCGGGACCTGTGGAACTCCTTCAGGTATGCGAGGCGAGGGGAACGAAATCACGCCCAACCTGTGAATCAACACGGAAGACAAGATGCGAGACACCGCAAGCCACAACACATCGATGCGCACAACAACCAACAACGACATGCAAATCGTGCAGATCCCGCCCTGACCTCGAAGAACGGTCTGACGGGTCATGTGCGTGCACTCGGTTTTATCCGCGATAGTGCCGTCGTTACCAACTGTGTGCTTGTTAATGGTGTACTTACCGCAACTTTTTCCCACGTCCACAGCTGGCTCAGTCTTTAACAAAATGCAGCGTCAAGTTGTTGGCGGGCATATCTTTCTTGGAGCTCAGCGTCAGTCCGCAGCCTGATTGCGGAGCGAAAGCCGATGCTTATGCATGCTACGTGCCCCCTTTTGTTCCTCCAGGGGAATGTGGAGGGTAACGCAGGGAGGAAGATGAGAGAGGCGTGAGGAAGAGACGGGAGGAAGGATGGATGGGATAGGAGAGATGGGATGGGGAGAAAGGGGCACACATACATACATACTAGAACCACGCGCGCGCTTCGCGCGCGCTTAGGTTCTAGCTAGGATCGTCACCGTCGTCATCATGAACATCACCATCGCCATCATTCCCCCCGCCAGGGCTAATGTACATCGTTTCTGGATGCTTCTGGCCGGAATACGAAGGGAGTTTCTGTAGTCAGAGTCTCCGGCGGAAGTCGCGGGGCCCTTCAGGATACTTACGGATGCCTCTGATAGTACTTAAGAAATGATGGACCCGTCATTTTGTACCTGTGCCTTGATCAGTGGGACGGGCTTCGCACCGCCGCACATCACAAGACACGCTCGAGCGGATCCAGCCGTGGCGACGTCGGGGACTGCAGAAGGTCGCAAGGACACGGAATCTGAAAGGAAGAGAGAGAGAGAGAGAGAGAGAGAGAGAATGAGAGAGAAAGAGAGGGAGAGAGAGAGACAGACAGACAGAGAGCGAAGAAGAGAGAGAGAGAGAGAGAGAGATGGAGTGAGAAAGAGAGAGAGAGAGAGAGTGAGAGGAAAAACAAAAAAACAGAGCGAGAGAGAGAGAGAGAGAGAGGCAGAGAGAGGAAATGGAGAGGAGGCGAGCTTGAGTCAACGAAAGTCGCAGGGAAGGGGGCAAGGGGAAGAAGGCCAGAGAGCGCTGAAGGATACAAATACTGGAACCCTCTTGGGATTTTTTGGGGGGCCTCGTCCGGCCGCTCGCTGGGAGTTTGACGTAGCTTCTCGGGAGCCTCTGAACCTGTCGGGGGCCTCCTGGAAGCAGGTTCGAAGCATTTTGGAGCCGATTTGGGGCTTCTCGGGGCCTCCTTTGGGCCTCTTGGGGGTCTCCTGGGGCCTCTTGAGGGGCCTCCTCGGGGCCTCCTGGCGGCCTCTTGGGGCGGAAGGCTCGAGCTTGCGGTTCGTGGTCCCCCTCTGGGCCCCCTCTTGGGCCCGTCTTGGGGCCCTCTTGGGCCATCTTGGGCGCCTCTTGGGCCGTCTTGGGGCCCTCTTGGGCTGTCCTGGGGCCCTCTTGGAAGCTTCTTGGGCCGTCTTGGGGCGGTCTTGGGCGCCTCTTGGGCCGTCCTGTAACGTCGGAAAGCCCAAAAGGCAACTTTGTGAAAAACGTACGTTTTACGAAGGGAATGGACCAATTTTTGCGTCTAGGGGCCCTCTTGGGACGCATGTTGGAGGCTTCTTGGGGCGTCTTGGGGGCGTCCTTGGACGTCTGGAAGCCATCTTCAGCATCTTGGAGCCCTCTTGGAAGTTTCTAGAGCCGTCGTGGGCGCTTCTTGGGCCGTCTTGTCTGACCGGGGAGGCGTCCGGCAAGCCCCGACGAGCCTCCGGGCCCCCCGGGGCCCACATTTGTGGTCGAGGTCCCGGCCCCGGGCCCCCGGACCCGGTGCGCCGTTATATGTATACATTCATAAAACATAGCATGCATGCATGCATGCATACATGTGTGTGTGTATGTATATATATGTATGTATGTATGTATGTATGTATGTATGTATGTATGTATGTATGTATGTATGTATGTATGTATGTATGTATGTATGTATGTATGTATGTATGTATGTATGTATGTATGTATGTATGTATATATGTATGCATGTATGTATATATATATATATGCACATATATTAAGATATAAGACTACATCTAGAGAGAGACAGAGAGAAATAAATAGAGAGATAGAGGAACAGCGAGGTGAAGAGAGAAATAGAGAGTGAGAAAGAGTGGCGGATCACGAGGGAATAGGAATTGGTTTCCTGCCCCCGATCAAGCCTGCTGCCAGCTTTTGCAGCTCGTCCACGTCGCGAATCCCCCATGCGGGGTTGGTCGAGCGCAGCTTCTCGTCGAAACTAGCGTTGCCAGCACCCCCGTCCTCGCCAACAAACTCGCCTGCCACCTTGAAAGGGCCATAAACACACAGATGTCCACCTGGGCCGAGAAGATGTCCGGCTCCGCGGAAGAGGCCCTCGGTGGCGGCCCACGGTGTGATGTGAAGCGTATTAGCACACAAGATCAGCTTGAATTCTTTTTCGGTCACAACTGGCGGCCAGGGCTTCAACAGATCGAGGGCGACTGCAGGCAGGCAATTCTTGAACACTTTAATACCGTGCTCGTCGATATTGGCTAACTCATCGAGACCCTGGCGAAGCCCGATCTTGCCGTGCTTGGACCACTGCTCCTCAGGTGACGCTTGCTCCTCTGGCACGTATTCGGAAGGCTGATACGTCAAGAGTGGAAATGCTGGTGCAACGACTTCCATGAGTGCTCCGGTGCCTGTTGCAATCTCAAGTGCGAGGCCGCTGAATTCGTCGCTGTCTGGGAGGAACCCTAGGAGCGCCTTGAGTATCGGAATGCGATTGCGCAGAGCACTCGGGTGGTGCTGCTGGCCAGCGATGGCATGAGTGCTTGGATCAGGAATGATCCGCGATTCCGTCTTCCCTGGCAACGCCATGAACGTGGGAACCCAACGATTCGATAGGCTGTCGGCGAACAAAAACAAAGATCTGGCTCTCGGCCAATACAT